ACACAAAACATTAAAAAAAGCCCTGTTTGAACATAATTTAACGTTTAAAACCTATCAGATTTTATTTTTTAAAAAAAAAATTTTTAAATCAAGAAATTACTTAATGATGATAGAATTATGGAACAGCACATTTTCTGGAGCAGGAATCAGTTATTTTATTGAGCTTTTTCAGGCTGATGTGCTGAATTCTTATTAGAAATCTTTAAAGTCATTATATTTTTGTAAAATATGGAGTTCACCATCTGCCTCTGAAGAACAAATTCTTCGTGAATTAATTATTAAGTGAAAAAATTTTCTTAACTTTGTCTTTACTCAAGATTTCTGAAACCAAAGTTTCTCTAGCATTGGTAAACCCAAGCACATGACAGCAAGTTTCGCTGAGAATCATGAACACAACTTTTAAGTTTTATTTCGAGGCGCAAAATTGACAGTGTTGTTTGAAAAATCAGGTCAAATGTCTGCCATTTAAATCAAATCATGTCAAGCAAGAAATTTGGTCTTCTGTCTGTTCTTCCGTTTGTACATGTAGAACAAAGAGAACATTTCCCCCTCCCAAAAAATCATGTCATTTATGGCATTTTTGTGAACAGTGTCTTTACTGCTATCAAACTCATCAGCTATCATTTAAAATGAGAGGTGATGAATATTCAACATTCATTTTCAGACCTTTTTGATGGTCTTATCTATTTGAGACTGCAAAGGTGACTGTTCCTGAACTCATAATCAAAATCTTTGTATTTATTACAAAAGCCTCCATTTTAATGAAGATCCTTAGGTTGTGTTAATATTTGATTTCCATTTGCTTTATACAACATTTCTAATTTCAGCATTCTTGTTTATCCTGCTTGTACAGCAAAACTTTATTGTTATCCTTTGCTCAGCTTTATAATCCAATTAAATTAATGGGTTCAGTTTAATTAGCAGGATTAAAGCAAACAGTTAACTGCAAAGAAAATTTTGTATATACCAGATGATATTTTAGGAGAAACAAGTTGAGTTGTTGTAATAAGAAATGGTATCAGTTATCCTTACACATGTTTGCTGCAAATTGTTAAAAAATTAAGAATTAAAACATGTATTTTATTCCAGTGGTTTTTCTGAGGAATTTTATTCTTTGTTTTTATGTGTGAGTCACAGATTCATATTATTAGAAAAAATTTTAAAAATAAATAAAATAAAGTTTTCTCATGGAATGAAGTATTAAACCTTTTAATATTGTTGCTATTGTATGTCTGTAAGAATTAAAACAAGATTTTCGATTTTTATGCTATTTCTGTTCTCATTTAATCCATGTACTCTATGAAAGACAACAATGCAATTAATGTAGCATTTCCATATGAGAAATTTTATGGAGAACAATTATAAAGAAGGGCCATGTGCAAGTATTACTATTTTTTTTTTTATCATACATAATTATTTTATGCTGGAATTTTTTTTTTTTTTTTTTTTTTTTTTCTGTTTGAAGTAATCAAACAGAAGCAGTTTCTCTTTTAATTGGACATGGATTTTTGGTTTTGCTGTAGAAATTGTATGCTTTAAAGCAAACATATAACTGTAACAGGATTATTTTATTTGTATTTATTGTTGTGAAATCTTCAGTAAAATTTAAGATGATTTAAAATTAAAATAATTAAAAAATGAGATTTAAACTAGAGCATATTCAAATTAAAATGTGAATAAAACATCTCTAAAAATAGAAATAATAACTCTTCATAGAAATAACTGAAATGATTTTAATCCTTTTTGATTTCATTATTAAACTTATGTAAAAGTTCTGCTGAGTTCTTGCAGTTTTTGCTCCATAACAAATGAAATAGAAAATTTCTTATTCTTGGATATATACTTATGTAATTTTTGTTAGTATGCAGAGATTTTTCTGATGCTGGATGATGAAAAATGAGCAGTGCCTTCACCGGGTCTCGAACCTAGATCTCTCGAATATGTGCTGAGTGGGCTACCATTATATCATGAAGGCATGCAAGAAGGGGGGAGAAAATACCTTATATACTCCCCCATTTAAAAGGGGACCCAGGATTAGGAGACCCTTTCACCAAATCCTGGTATAGGGGTCGCAAATTATCATCCATCACCTTTTAGTTCGGGCACCACTGTAGAGTCCCCCCCCCTTTGGGGACCCGGGATTAGGAGACCCTTTCACCAAATCCTGGTATGGGGATCGCAAATTATCATCCATCACCTTTTAGTTCGGGCACCACTGTAGAGTCCCCCCTTTTTTGTTGTTGTTGTAAAAGCAGACGACATGAAAAATGAACAGTCCTTTGCTGGGACTCAAACGTAACCATCGAGACTCAAGGCCTCCGCACTACTTTATGACGTCACAGTCGTCGATCCTCTAAAAGCGAACATCGCCCGATAAGAACTGTGCTCCCTCCCGTATTTCCCTAAACTTTGTTTTTATATATACGTTTCATTCCGATGCTAGTCAAAGAATAAATTAGCAGTGATATTTCAATTGCAATAAATATTTTTATATTTTATGATTTCCAAATAAATTTTTGTTGCACTTGATGATTATTTCATAAACAAGAAAATTGAAAAATAACATGAGAATTACCTTAAGCAAACATAGAAGGAAAAGTAAAGGTTTAAACAGAAATAAACAATTAAACAAATTTCATTCAAAAAAGACTTTATTCAAAATTCCCTTTTTATTTTAAATAGATTAAATACAAATCATATACACAGATAATTAATCATAAATAAAATTCACTCATGTTGTTTAGGTTATGCATATTATTTATAAAAATGAACAAAAAAATTACTTGAATAAATATTTGAGGAAAAAAATAGCAAAGGCGAAAATGTACAGAATTTTTCCTAGGTTTAAGAATTTCCTTACTATTAAATTCTCAAAATGAAATAGCAATATTCATATGCATTACAATAGAATCAATATTCAGTTTGTAGAATCAAAATACTCAATATTGTCTTACATTTAAAATAATGTATGTGGATAAATTACATTATGAACAATTTGTAAAAAAATAAAAAAATCCACTGCAATTTTTACATTCAAAAGAAATATTAATAATATTGTATTTTAACAAAATTAAATTGTTTTGTTTTGTTTTTTGTCCACTGAATAAAAAATAAAGAATTATATTTCATCTTATTCTATTTTGTAAAGTTAATTGATTTAGAAAATGAGTGGCTCAAATCTAAGTATAACATAAAGGAGATGAATGAGTTGTAAAGGAAAAAAAAAAAAAGAAATAAATACACTAGTGCATTTTATTTTTCATAATCTGAAATATGCATCATGTTAATGTGGATAATTTTCTTCTTTTACTGCAATTTCTTTTATCATTTAAATTTTGCAAATGTGTGTCATTTTTCACTTTACAGTAATTATTTAACAATATATTTGTTGAAGACCAAAGGATCGTATTTATTATTTTGTTGTTAGAGTGTCCCAATTCACAGTTTGTTTCTTCAAATAGTTCTTCATTTAATATGATATTGCTTGTAATTGAAATAGCAACATTAAGCTGATTTGATGAATTTAAGAAAAGGCATTCATATTCACTACACAGTTTTTTTAATAACAATATAATTAACTAAGACAATATTTAAAACACTGTCATTGGGACAAGAAAGTCTACCCCTATCTAGATTTTTGAAGTAATCAAAGTATGCATGTTCAGTTGTTTTGTCTCTTAACAATTTTTTTTCGCAAAAATTGCATTTTAAATGCTTTAACACAGCAAAAGCACTATATCCTGCAACATAAATTAATACTGGAACAGATTTCTTACATGATTCAATATCAGAAAGGCTTACAGAGACATTGAAAGTTGAATCTGTAATAGAATTAAGATCTAAACTGTTGAAATCTGTCAAACTATTTAACGCAATGTCATCTGTTATTTTTGGAAATTTTAACAGAGACTGGATTCTTAATTTTGATTCAGCTTCGAACAGCTGTCTAATGCTTATATTATACTGACTTCCTGATAATTGCCTATACAAACCAAATCGAGACTCCAAATTATCAGTCTGAAATTTGCCAGGCAATATGTAATTAAGATTTAGTTCAGAAGTATAATATGATGTTACTTCAAGCAATGAATAGGTACTTAATTTTAATGCAGAATGAGTTTCTTTACTGAAGATGCTTGTATCACAATTGAATTTTTCCCAACGCTCTAATCAATCTAAAAAATAATGTAAAAATATTTTTTTTCTCATCATTTTCCGAATTTGTTAGCGGGTTTTGATATACATTGTTTAAACGCATGCCTTTGTTAGGCGATTTAACATTAACTATATTCCACCATATTACAAATATTTTAATAAAATCAGATGTGTCTTGGAAATGTGCAATATTATTTTGTTTACCTATTTCTAAAAGGCCATTCTTTACATAATCACTGAAAACTTGTAGCACAAGTTTAACATTTTGTTTCTCAAGATTGGAGGGATTTAATGCTTTATGTGATAAATTAAAACCATATTTAACCAAGGAGTTAAATTCAAGTTTATGCATTTTTTTAAGTGCATTCCATGATGCTGTTTTCAAAGAGGTTTGATTAATATCATTAAATGATGGGAAATACATACATTTTTCACCTTTTTGATTGACCCAGTTGTTACGAACACATTTCAATAAGTGAACAGTATCAACTAAAAAAAAAAAGAGGTCTAGAATTGCCACAGGGGTGAGGATATACGATTCGTATTTGGGGAGGTGAAACAAATAATGACATACATTTTCTGTTAATAGAATTATTATCTGTTACGACACATATTACAAAAAAACCAATTTCTTCTAAACCAATAATAATTTTTTTTACAATTTCATGTATTATTTCAGCATTTATTTTATTGGTTGGCAATATATGAATGACATCTTTGTATTTTGTTAGCAAACTGCTAATCATAAATACATGGGCACTGTTTGCCAAATTTTTTATTGTCATAAGACAAACCACAAATGTTACCGCCCTTATAATCTAAATGCTGTTTTAAATGTATCTCGTCAATCATCAAAATTACTACTTTTTTATCATTATCTTCCAAAAGATTAAATTTGTGTCTTACATACATTAAAAAATTAGAATTCAATGTTTCGGCATCTGGTTTCACATCATACGACAGGCAAATGCGACAAATTGTAGAGGGATGTGGTAATAAAATATTTTTACTATTACGAACAAAATTATACGCATGTGGAGCCATGTTAAAAAAGAGAGCAGAAAATATCATCAGGTCAGAAGAATACCTGAGACCATTCTTATTTAAAAAACACAATGATAATTGCTCCTCAATAAATTTTAGTTGCAGTTTTAAAATTTCATTACCATCACATTTCATCATTTTTTTTTAGTAAATAGATAACAGTTTTCATAATATCTGTTGCATCGCTTTTCTTTACACATACACTTTCAATTAAAGCTTCAAAAATGTTGTTAAGGGCGTCTATGTGGCTTATATTTAAAGGAAAAGAGTACGTACCTAATTTATATACTTGAGTCTCATATATGTATGCACTTGTAGAAAGTTTATCATTTATTACAAGTGAACATTCTATCACTGGAGCTGTATCTGTTATAATTTTTGCAAAAATTTATCTGGTCAGTTTTTCTAAAAACAGTCCACACTGAAGTGTCAATATATTCTATTTTTGCATGTAAATCATCCAGCGAGGAAAACATTCTTTTAGAGTCATAGTTCTTTTGTTCTGCAGCACTCTTCTGTAAAGCCAATTTCAAATAATCCTCCTCATGGCGTTTCCTTCTGACATCTGGATCTTCCCTTGGTGTCTTGGAATTCGATGATAAATATCCTGGCAAATTGGGAAATTTAGATGGCACTCTCCCTTTTATTAGCCTTGGATTTTTATAGGGAACTGTTATTCGACAACCTGTTCGCTGATCGAAGGCGCTATTGTTGTATTCAAAATCACAGCCATTAAAATGTAGTTCACAAACCTATGGGAAAGTACAAAAATTATTTATTAATTTAATATTAAAAAACATGTTTAATGTGATATTTTCTTAAATGTAAAATAACATAGATATGCCTGAAGAATTTTCGTTATTCGCAGATTGGAAGTTTTATTCACATAGTAGCAAAATATAATTAATTGAATTTGTTTTAATACGACTAAAACATATTGTTAAGTAGGAACAGCTTCCGTATAGGTCATTTTTTCCTTGGTAACCAAATATGGTCGCTCACACTACACACAGCGAGAAACATACAAATTATTTTTAGTAGTATATATGTAAATTATATAGTCATTTTTAATTCCATTTAAAGTTAAATTAGCAATTATTACACCAGATGTAAAATTACATCTGGTGTAATTATACACATCATATAAAAATTCATATAAAATGAAATATAACATGAAACCTGATAATATTTAGATTTAGATAAATAATGGAATGTTATAAATAATTAACATACCTTACTATGAGGAGTAACCAGAAAATTATCTCTTCGTATGGCGCGTAGCCATTTAGCTGAATCTTGCTTATTCTTCGGAAATCCAAATACTCGAACTTTTGGGCCACTTTTATAATTTCCTTTACACACCCGGAAACGCAACAAGGATGAGGCATTCTTCACAACTGTTTGGAAGCTTAGCTTATATACTATTTTTAATTAATTACCAGTCCTGGAACAAAATAACAAACGAACCAAGGCGCCCGAACACAAATGAAGCAAGTTAACGCCGCGCGAAAACATGTTTGGAGTCTCGGCGGTTAGATCGAGCTGTGTGACGTCACGATCTTTCAGGGGAGGGAGTGCAGAGGCCTTCAGTCTCGATGGTTACGACTCAAACCTGGACCTGTTGAATATGTGCCAAGTGTGCTACTGTTATGCTATAAAGGAATGTTGAAAGGAAGGAGAAAATACCATATAAGTGTATTAAAAAAATTCAATTTGAAATTGAATTAAGTTTCTGCTGTCCTTAAATTGCCAAATTTAAAATTTGCGGTTTCAGGTGGCACAGTACTAAAATGTTAATGTTAATTGTTAATTGTTTTAATACTCTCTTCCAAAGAGATGCACATTTTAAAACATGCTCTTTAAAGTTATTTGATGCAAAGTTAGACAAAAGAAACAAAGTTACAAGGTTAAACAAAACAAAAGAAAAGTTAAAATGTGGTACTACAAAGTCATGTTGCTGAATGTATATTGAATAATTTTGTATAAATATTTTGAAAACAGGTATTTCATTTTTGGTGAGTGTATTATTTTCCATTTTAACAAGTAAGATTGCCTATGGGAATGCAATTTCACTAAAGCACCAAGCAAAAAATTCATTCACCAAAACTGTTTTTTACTAGTATATTATTTTTGTACGAAATTTTTAATCAAACTGGCAGCACTGATAAATATGAGTTCAAAAAGGGTTAAAATATTTGAAATGTATGTATAATTTTCTGAATAAAATGCGTCATTTTTCGAATAAATAGATCATGAATGCAATCAACACATAAATAGGATGATGATATTAGGACATTCTGTGACCTATAAATATGAAGCTAAGACAAGAATTATGCTATAAAGACGACTACAAATATATTATGTTACCTGCAATTAAGATGATTTTTCTCCTTTTTAAAATGCCCCTTTGAAAGCCATACCCAACTTATTTTAAAAACTTAACATTTAAAAATATATTAAAATAATTTATCGTTTAACCCTTTAATTTTATGTTGAAAAAAAAAATCTGTAATTTTACTGTAAAGTATTTTATTGGTGCCATTTAATCAACTTTATTATAGAAAACTTTCATCAGATCAGTTAATATATGGATATAATCTTTTATTTAAGATTCTGTTCTTTACTAATAAAACATGTTGGAAAAATGCAAAGTTGTCTTAGACATAAAGGCATCTAATATTTAATTTGTTTTAATTAACATCAAAGCAAAAGAGGGATCTCTGCTTTAATTAGAGGGATGCTTTTACAGAGAAATTTCTAAGGGAAACTGGGTCATATTCCTGTCTAATAGAGACAAAATCATGAAAACACTCATACAGTCAGTTCATTCATTGGGATTTGAAGTCAAGTTGAATTTCTAGCATTCAACAATTTTATTCATTCGACCACTAGAAGGCACTCATCATATATTTAAACCAACATAGTTCATATGGAAGCAAAGGAATGATTGAGACACTATTTTCTCGATCTTATAAAATAGTATCATATGCTTAATTTGGTTAAATTTTCAAATAATTCAAAGAAGCCATAGTTAGTTGCTTGAATTTTGCCCAAAATACCACAATATTTATAGTTTCATCTTTCCTCTCTTTTAATTTATGAAGGCTGTTTTTAATTTTTAAATAAACCAAAATATTGGGTTTTAATGAAAGTTTCCCTTCAGTGCAAATTCCTCTGCAAACAGATCACATTGGTGTATTTAATCATATTTTGTCAAACGATTTTTGTCATTTGAAAGAAATTTGCTTTAGAACACTATTGTGAAATTTGCTAAATATATCGTTATCATGAAGTACAATTTGTTTGAAATGGAACTATCACACTACCAGATTAGAACCATCATTTACTCTCAGTTCTGTTGAAAAAAGTCAGCTACATAATGTCACCAAATCATGTGTATAGCTTTAGGTACTAATGTTGTGTCATATAACACTGTGATGGTTTGGTACTGAAAGTTCAAAAACAAGGGCTATGACATTCAAGAAATAGAGTGCTCTCGCCAGCTTACTGATGTTGATGAGCCCACCTGTGAGAACTTATGGAAGTAGATTAGTATGCAACCACTTTAGAGCTTGTTAAGGAGTTAGATGTTAGTACCATGTCCATTAGTAGCGCTAGGCATCACATAAACTTGATGTACAAGTTCAATAACTGGGTGCGACATGAGCTGACTCAAACACATAAGGACAGATGTGTTCAGACCTGCACTAATCTACTGAAATGTCAATGCAAGGAGAAAATTATGGACTGGATCATCACTTGTGATGAAAAGTGGATTTACTTAAACACAGACCAAAAAGGGGGTTGTTCTGCACTCAATGAGCCCATTGGTAGAGTCACAAAGTGCAATTTGACTAACAAAATTATCTTGCTTTGTACCTGATGGAATTGCCCTGGTATTATCCATAAAGAGTATCTGGAAAGAGGTAAAACCCTCAACAGCAAAGTGTGCAGCAAGATGCTAGTCCGTCTGACACTGCTATCAAGGAAACATGTCGAACTGAGTTCCGGTGCAAAAAGGTAATGTTCCATCAAGATAATGCAAGAAGACCATGCATGTCTGCATTCACCAGCTGGACTCTGTACGAGCTCAAATGGGATCTTTTCCCACACCCACCATATAGCCCCAACATCCGTCTTTATCTTTGTTCACACCTGGAACTACATCTTGCTGGTGCTATCTTCCATTCTTCATAGGACGTCTGAAATGAGGTTGATTTGTTTTTGGACTCGTGGCCAGCGAGTTTCTGGGCAGAAGGCTTTGAAAAACAACCAAAATGTTGCCAGAAAATAGCACAATTACAGTGTTCATGTTTTTTTTTTTTTTTTTTTTCCCCAACTTTATTAAGAACTTTTTTGGCATAAAACTTACATTACAACAATATATTTTAATTTCTTTATGATTTGTTAATTTCAGTAAAAGTTTTTGTTTTGAGGTTTAATTTCTTGGTAAAATTAAATGAAATGAATTTTTAACTAGGATATGAACATATGAAGACAGGATGGAAAAGGAGCAGTGATCAAGATATCAGTATATTTGTTAATCTCCTTGAACTATTGGCTGTATGAAAGTAAAGCATTCCAAGGAAAATGGCATATTTTATATTGTTGAAAGAATAATTTTTTACTTGTTGCCTTTTTTGTAGTATATAATAAATGAAGATTTTCCTAATTTTTTCATGCACTCTTTCCTTTGTGACTAAGACATGGGGCATTATAACCAGTTTTACATCTGTTATGTCCATTTTCATAACATTTCTTTTCTTCTTAATGTGATATATTTTTTATAATAAGAGGGCTTCTTAAGGTCTTGTTCTGTTTTAGTACTGAGTTTCCACTCATCTTAAAACTCCCAGAAAGCTCTGAAATGAAAAGTGGTCACGAAATATATATATATACACACACACACTGCAGGCCATTTAATTTGCAACACCAGGAAAGAGTGATCTGATGAACATCAAAATCACATGAAAGGGAAAAGAAGTTGGGCAAATGAATTAGTATTTCAGCGCATTCAGACGATGCAGGAGTGAGAAACGACATCTGAAGCACTTCATAAAAGAAAAGTTGTGTAGTGGATTTCTCGTTCGGAAAGTGCTTTGTAAGGTTGGAGTTTGCTCAGAATATTGTGTTATGACTCGAATAAGAAGAAGAAATGTGTTAGAATTCAATAGAGGTAGGATCATTGCCTATAGAGAATGTGGATTATTGTTCTATGATATTGACCATCGCACTGGTCAACATCCAACCACTGTCATGCGAATATGGAATTGATGGGTTGCTGAAGGTCAGCATGCAGGATCTCAGTGCCCTTCCATGATTAATGTCCAAAAGAAGAGACATTGTGAGGTCAACCCTGCAAAAACCATACAACCACAACACGGACCATTAGTCAGAAAATGGACATGTTTGCAGCATGCTGAGTACCCGCTCATAGGATGTGTCGATATTTGCAAGCTTCAAAATTTGATAGAGGCAGGATTGTTGCCTATTGAAAGTGTAGATTATCGTTCCGTGATATCGCCGGTTGCACTGGCGGACATCCAACCATTGTCATGCGAATATGGAATCAATGGATTGCTGAGGGTATACTGAACAGCATGCAGAATCTCAATGCTCTCCCATGACTAACACCAGAAAGGACAGACATATTGTTAAGTCAGCCCTGAAAACCGTACGACCACATAACAGACCATTAGTCAGGAAATAGGCGTGTTTGCAGCATGCCTGGTATCAGCTCGTAAGGTGTGTGAACTGCCAGCTGGTTGACCATTACATCGGCTTCCTTTGACAATGCAACATAGAGATGGCGACTCTGTTGCACTAAACAACAAAGCTGTGTACAGGAGTGGCACAATGTCCCTTTTTCAAATGAGTCGCGGTTCTACGTGCAATATTCTGATGACAGTATATGTGTCTGGAGTGCCCGAAGAGACTGCACATTGCCTGCTTGCATTTTATATTGACATAGAGACCTGGTGTGATGGTTTTGGCAACCATTGAGTACACAACACGCACAGTTCAGATCAACGGTAATTTGAACGCAGATGGGTACATTTTTCACATCTTACGTCCAGTGGTTGTGCTCTATCTTTGAGGCTGCCAAATGCCATGTTCCAACAATATAATGCAAGACCACATGTTGCACATCGTGTTCTGGCCTTCCTCGATACATAGGGTATACGATTGCTGGTTTTGGTCTGCGTGATCTTCAGATCTGTCACCCATTGAAAACATCTGGTCATAGGTTGCTGAGAAAGTGGTCCGCCAAACCTCTCCAGCTAATACAATTGATGAAGTGTGGTATAGACTTGAAGCAGCATGCAATGAGTTCTCCATTTCTGTCATCCAAGCCATATTTGATACCATGGGGTAAGCCGTTGTAGTTGCCAGGGATGGCAGTTGTTTCTACTAATTTCGCAACCCTGTAAAACTCCAAAATGCTTACATGTTTAACCATTTTGTGTTATGCCATACTGTTTACTTGCAATAAATATCTTTTTTGTATTTGCTTTCCTTCAAGGTGTTGCAATTTTAATGGCCAACAGTGTATATATATTGAAAAGTTTAAGGAAAATGAGAATTTTTTACTTAGAAGTCAGGTAAGTTGAAAAAGAGTGCAGAAATTTGGTGAAAAAGGTGCAAAAATTTTAAAGCAGTCCTTTTAAATAATAAAAGGTTCATGTTTTGACTGGTATCCAGAACACATTCTAAAACGAAAGTAGATGAGGTTATTGTAATTTTTGCTCTTTTTGAAGAAAATATAAGGGTCTCAAAAGTCATGTAGGATTTAACATTTACAAAATTAAACCTAATTTTTGCATGAATTGGCAAAGTTATGGCATATTTTGAGAGAGTAAATACTCTATGTTATATCTGGTAATTGTCCTCTACATCTTGTATAACTTTTGCATAATCTTAACATGTTGGATTTCTTCTTTAAGTTCATAAATGATTGGTGGGCGTTTGTTATAAACCTTATACTTAATCCCCACAGATAATCATGCAGTGTAAGATTACATGACCTTTGGGTCTAATACCCCTTTGGGCTAATAAAAACTGATGACCAAAATTCCAATAACTGTGTATATTTCAATTTAAAAGCAAACTTTATAGTGAAAAGAATTGTTTCGAAAAAAAATTTTTTTTTTTTTTTTTTTTGTATAGGTTAGTTATTGTAATCTGGATTTTTAGTTTCCCCCACCTTACCTTTTAATTATTTCAACTCTCTAATCTTACACAAGGAACTGGCACTTAAGTTTCTTGAGGTTTTCTTTATTAAAAAAAAAATGTCCTGAAGCGGCTCCTTGAAGACAACTAGACTGCAGTAATTTGTACCATTTTCTTGGATCTCTCGTCTACAGTGTAGTAGAGTTGAGGAGCATTTTGATAAGAATACAATGGTATACTTGTTTTTCTATTATGCAGAAGGAAATAAAGCATGTCGTATCTTGTCTAGTTTCCCTTAAGGCTATTTACACTACCCGACATTGAAAATGCAACACCAAGAAGGAATGGCCAGAAAGTAATGAAACTCGGCAAACAGAGAGAGACAGCTACGAACAGTAAGTAATCTTTATTTCGAAATGATATGCGTAATTCAAGGCGAGAACAGCGTCGGTTCAGTAGGTTGTAGGACCACCTTGGACGGCGATACACGAAGCAACACGTCTAGGTGCAGAGTCAATGAGACTACGGAAGATGTCACTCATTCCCTGTCAAGTATTTGCCACAGTTCGTCTTCTGAACGCAGCAATAGCAGGGTCTGCAAATGGAGACCAATCACATCTCAAATGTATTCGATTGGTGAGAGAATAAAGACCAGGGAAGCATCTGTACATCTTGCAGAGCACATTGGCTAATACAGCAATGTGTAGTAGGGCATTGGGGTAGGGAAGTGTCACCGGCCGCAGCACATCATCCATGTATCGTTGGGCCGTCATAGTGCTTTGAATACGAACTGGAGGTGACCTGGAATCGTACGCAATAGCGCCTCAAACCATGATGCCGCGCTGTCGCGTGGTGGTGCGTTCTACAATTGCTGTCGGATTTCACCTGTCTTCTACATCGACGCCACATTCGTACGGGGCGATTATCATTGGAGAAACAAACGTGACTCATCTGAGAACACGACCTTGTGCCATTCCGTCGTCCGCATCGTTAGCTTCTATGATGTAAGGTCAATGGCAGTCGTCTTAACGGACACCACGAGGGAAGACACTAGCCACCAATCGACGGCAAACGGTTCTGGTCGATATGGAGACATCCAGAGTGTATTGAACATGCTGCAGACTGGAGGTAGAAGTGACTTGCGGGTACGCCACCGCTTGTCGGCGGTAGCGTGCAGACATCACTATGGCTGCAACGGCACCCCTCGAACTTGCCACATTTCCTTGTTCAACCCTTGTCGCCACAGCCGATCTTCGCGTCCAGATCTGTGTCAGCTGAGATTTGCCGTTTGGACCAGCCTGCGTTTCTGTTGTGTAGCGAATTTAATATAATTAAGTGATTCATAAAAATCAAAATTTTAATTTGTAATTATTCAAAACTTGAGCTACACAACAAGTTTGGTTATATTCTTTTATTTGGGTTATTAATTCTAGAGTAATCTATTTCGGCTATTCGAGTTTACGCGAACTGCGTCTTCAATCTTGTACACTCAGACAATGGATATAGGTGAATTTTCATGTAATAAACTCAGTTTTTCATGATAAAAATTAATTTGATTTCTTAGTATTTAATATCATTAGTTGCAGAAAAATTAGCTCTTTAATTTGACATAACTTTCGTTTTCCTAACTTTAATTGCATTTTAGTTATGAACTTTAATTAATAGTTTTTTTTTCCGTTTTCATTGTGATTTCTCCTGTTGGGGAAAAAGTGCCCTCTTTCCGGTAAAATAGTCGCTTTTTCGAGTTTTCAGCGTTCCTTCGTTGGGACTGCTTGCAGGGTTGTTGAAATTCCAAGTTTCTCCCTTCACTAGGCGTGGTTATTTGGCGACAGCTTGGCGACTTAGAATTTCCGTTGGGTTTCAAAGTGGTGGCTTTGGTGAGTTTGCTAACATGAAGGAATGCTGTAGTTGCAACTGGTTTAACTTTTGGCGAGGAGTGAGTTCTGTCAAGTTGGCATTTCTTCGCTCTCCCTTTTAACGGGTTGTTTTGTGGGACGAGGTCACTTTTTGACACTTCTTTTGCTCTTTTGAATTGCTTTCTGATGCTGTTCGAGGCGACAGCTGATTCCGCCGAGGAAATGGATCTTCGCCCCAAAAGAATTACGGGCCTCTTGGCTAAGCGCTTTGAGCGCGGGCCTTAGTGGATGGGCATCTATGTCTTCGCAAAATTTAATTCTTTCTTCAGTTTTTTTTTTTTTTTTTGTGTGTGTGTGTGTGTGTGTGTGTGTTTGTGTATCTCAAGAAAAATATAAAGCAGAAAAATGATGCGTGCTCCCAGTTCTCAACCATCTGATTGCCGCTGTGGTAGTCGTTTACGATGCCATAGAAAGAAATCATTAGGCTTCTGCATACTCTGAAATGGAAAGTTAATTTACAACCGTTGCGTTTTGGACCCTTTAGAAATTGATTCGTCGTTTCCCGCTGAAGATTTCCGGAATAATGGTCTGAAAATTTGTTCATCCTAATCTCCTCGTGTCTCCAAATCCGAGATTGTATTAAACTATTTAGCCGTATTAGAACTTCATTTGTTCATCCTAATCTCCTCGTGGCGCCAAATCTGGGACTGTATTCAACTTTTAGCCGTATAGGAACCTCGTTTGTTCATCTTAGAATCTACTAGGAAAAAAAAAATGCTCGGTTCCAGTGATCACTTGCTGCCAGCAGTTCTGAGCTTCAATGGACTCTCTCTTTTTTTTATTCTTCCCCATGTGGTTTGACTCTTCTTGCTTTCCAGCCACAGTTAAGTCTCTCCTTTTTTTTATGTTTTTGTCTTGGTTACTTAAAGGTTATAGAATTCTGCAGTTAAATGTTTGAATTAATTTAAATGTAAAGCTTAATTTTTTTTTTTAGTTGACAAATTTAACTTAACTCTATAGAAATCATTGTTTTCTTTTTGTGTGGGTCGATTAAGTAAAAGTAGTAGATTGAACCAAGATTTATAACCTTATTAAAATTATTGTAACTTAACTTAATAGTAAAGAAAATTAAGTTCTTCAAGAAATTATTTAATAGAATATTTGGAGTTACTTCATGGTGAGGATTGATTAGTAATAGTACCAGTAATAATGTGACTACTTAACTTTTTTTTGGTTAAACAATATTTTTATAATCAAAAAGAAAAAATGATAAAAATTATTATGTACAATAACTATTATTTTGTTGGATGGTATTGAGTGCAATAACTTCTTTCCTGTATTGATTATTCTGTGTGAAGTGGAAGGTGTAACTTGTTAAAATTTATATATATATATATATTTTTTCTCCCCGGGGAGGGTACTGTTCATTAATTTATAGTTTATTTTTGGTATGTTTACATGATTTGCAAACTAACAATAATAGAGATTATAAAGAATAATGTTAAGAAATAATTACTCAGTAATAGTTTGATTTGTACAACAATATAATTTGCAATAAGAGTTAAATAAATAAGTTTTTCTAGATCAATCAATGGTTAAATTTGTCTGCTCATGATTTTCACCAGTTTATTTCTCAACTTGAGTTTAGGGTTAATTCGGAATAAACACAACGCAAATTAGAACAGGTTATTGATACTAGTATGTTATGGTAGAAATGAGTATTTTTATTGTTGTGGTCAACTAGTAGGGTACCTTTCAGACATTTTCAAAACGACACAACACTTCTCAGTCCGATCAACATGCCCCTCGTAAAATCGTCTTGTCTGCTGGAACTGCCTCTGTTGACGACGGTCCTGCATTGTCTTATATTTCACGCGCCTTCTGAGGCAGAAGCACATTTTCTACGATGATTTACCTAGCAGAAATAATGACACAACAATAAAAAAAAAAAAATCTGAAAAGACAAACGCTCCTTTGAGCGTAATTGAACATTACGCCCAAAAGGGCGTTTTTTAAACGTTTTGTGTGTTAGCTTAATTTATTAAATATCACCCCCATAGCAGAAAACATCCTCAGGATGTCCTATTTAAGTCGCAATATCCCGGGACATACTTAGGATGCCCTAAGGATGTTGATTCTCAGATGTCCTGAGGAGATCGTAATTTAACATCCTGAGGATGTCGTATTTAAGTCGCTATGTCCCGGGATATGACAGGATGTCCTGAAGATGTTGATTCTCAGATGTCCTGAGGAGTTCATCAATTTCACATCCTGAGGACATTCATTCTGCATTGTCCGGAGGACTTTCGGTGTCAAACATTTTGAGGATATTTGTTCTCAAATTTACCAGTTTTAATTTTTTGACATTGCACATCTGAAACTTGCACATTATTTTATTTTTCATATGTATTTTACTAAGTTGTTTCTAAATGCT